TGTTATTTAAATTTCTCTACATTGCAGGAACAGGGATTTACAAGGTCAGAATAAATAGCAGAATATTCTGACATGTTAAATGCCAGTTGTCATCATATTACTGTGAGTTCCTCTTTCAGAAATAAGAATATGGTTACTAAATCTACGTACTCAATTTTCCATTAGTATGCATAACTGATTATGCCAGTTTCCTGCTTCTATTTCTTACTTATATCCATCCTCCATATCTTTACTATATTAAACTTTTACAAGAGACAAAAGTAGGGGGCCCTTGCTAGAATAAAGTTTTTCTTCATGCCCCTGGGAGATATATTTTATTCACTTCTGCACTCTGAAAAGCTTCCCCAGCTTATCTTTGCTTACTAAGTGGCTGTTTAAGGCACAGCTGCAAAGACCAGATAAAAAAATGACAATTTCACCCATCCACCAATCTTCCACTGCCACAATTTCCTACTTGTTTTCCTCCCTTTTTGTTAGTAAGATACCCATTTACTAGGTTCTCTTTTCAAGATCTACTTCTTCAGTTCTCATGCTTCTTTGCAATAACAGGAATGTTGCCCCTATAATAATATGGGGTTCCCACACCTCTTACCAAAATAATTTCCAGCTGTTTTGCATAATACCTACTTTGTTGGTTAATATTCTGTGACTAATTCTGTATTTACAGTTAAACATGTTTAATATCACAACAGTTCTGCCAGAACCTAAGGATCTTAGCTTACAGATGAAAGGCAGTATTGTCTATATTGCTACTATTGGTATTCACATAAACACAGAAGTACTACTGTATATAGCTTGAAACATGTCTATTGCTGGGATCCCTCAAGGGCATCAAAGACTTCACCTAACTTTTTATATTATATAGATGCAACTTTATGGAGTAATAGTAGGTTGCAAAAGAGAGCCAGTTTGGTGTAGTGGTTAAACCACTAGCCTAGAAATCAGGACACTTTGAGTTCTAGTCCTGCCTTTGTCACAAAGCAGACAGCTGGGTGACTTTGGGCAAGTCACTCTCTCTCTGACCTAGGAAGAAGGCAATGGCAAACCACTTCTGAAAATGTTGCCAAGAAAACTGCAGGGACTGGGCTAGGCAGTCACCAGGAATCAAGCCTGACTCAAGTCCCTGGACCCCCAAAAAAGGTAAAACAAAGGATCTATCCAGGGGCATTTGTAGGGGGTAAAAAAAGTCAAGATAATGACCACGACTGTGGGGTTGAAGCCTTATCCCCCCTTTTTTTACATGGACACGTGCAAAAAAAAAAAAGTGGGGCTTCAGTCACATAGTCATAGCTGCCATCTTCCCTTTTTTTTTTCACCACTCCATCTCCAATGATTCTGTTATTTCCTGCATATCAAGGTGCTATAAAAGACAAGAAGCCTAATAAAAACTGGGCATCCATATTAAACTGCTGTTGGTGTGAAAAATTAGTATGTGTTTTTGAGCCTTCTGGATAGAGGAACAGTGGATTCTGTCCCACATTGTAGGTGTTAATTAATCAGAGTGGTTGTGCTTTGAAAAGCCTGTCTTTCCTTTTGCATATACTGCAGCTTTAATTTTAATTAGTATTATTTGTTTTAGATGTACACTGTCAGTTACATGTTTTTCCCCTTTCTCTCCAGCATCAGCTAGGTTTATACATCACAATCAACTACAGTACAGTTTGTTTGGGTCTGATTTAGTATCATCTATATGGTTTGTAAATCATAGTGTATACCTTAGTATTCGATATGAATGCAACCATTGTAATTTCTTCAGTAAACTATGTTTAATGCAAAGTATGGCATAGCATAATCTACAAACCCATCTGTCTCTGTATAATCTGCTCAGAACACTCCTTTATTTATTACTAGTAGGAACTATAACTCCATCACTAACATGCTTGAGGTGTTTTTCCAAGGTGGTCAGGGCATGGGTCTAGGACAGGGAGAACAAGTTCAAGCCCACCTTCAGCTTAATCTACCCCATCCGCTTGTAGGTGAAACTGAAGGAGCTTTGGGCTGTTACAGAAAAGACTGAATGTAAAATCTAACAGGGCCTAAGAAGAAACAATAAAATACAGCCAATTAAAGCCCAGTTCAAACTATACTTAAATAGTGTAGAAGTTTAAATAATCAGCCATGCAAATTGAAAGCCTACCTGTAGAGGAAGTTATTATCTCCTTTCCAAAGGAAGAGTATAGGGTTATGTGCAATATCCATGGAAATACAGGATTGCAGATTATACATGTGTTCACATGACATACCAAGCTACCAATTAGCATCTATGGTTATCATAAGGCAGTGTTGTCCAAACTTGGCCACTTTAAGATGAGTGGACTTCAACTCCCAGAA